GCATAAAATCATACTGGCCCTGTATGACAAAAAGCAGACATCTACAGGTCCAATTACTACTTGATAAAACCTCTTTTATACAAATAAAACATACGCTGGTAGATACTGTAAGGGGAAGGGAACTGATAAGAGAAGAGAAGAAAAATCAAACTAACTTTTCCAAAGAAATTCTGGCAAACACAATCCCACATAAAGAATATCTGGAAAAAAAATCTGATACCAGGGGAGAGTTAATCAGGAAGTTTGGAAAACAGACAAATGCATGTTTTAGGGTTTAAAGCCTGATATTTTACAGAAATTTGTAGTTTTCAAGAATATTTTTGTGTTCATGAGTGTAACATTTACGGCGTTTTTTTTTTCTTCTCCTTTATCGTTACTTTTAGGACACTTCCTGAATCCCCACCAGACTCCAGCTCAGAGCCGTATTCTCCTCAACAGGTGAATGGTAAGTAACTTATCTCTTTAGGCTTCCCTTAAAGAAAAGGATATTACAAATATTAAAATGTGAGAACAAGTGCTAATTAAAATTGTGTTTTCTGTTGATTGACATGAGTTTAAATCAGATTTTCATCTTCAGGGAAAAGACAACAACTGAAGGTTCAACAATTAGTTTGCTGGGTTTTTGTCAGTTTTTGCAACTAAACTATTGCATACTTTATTTTAGTCATGCATAAAAATTCATTTATACCAAATACGTATATCTTTTTTAAATTCCTTCAAAAATATTATTCTTTTAAAAATATTTTCGCTTTTAGCTATTATTTTGCTACTTTTAGTTTCTGGCTAGCCTTTTGCAACTTTTAGCTGAGGTTTTCCCTCTTTTAGCTAGACATTTTTCTGCATTCAGCTTTTAGATAGCATTTTCAGTCTTTAACTAGAGTTTTGCTTTTGCTTCATTTAGCTCTTTTATCTTTAACAACTCAGTTTAAACGCCTTCAACACATCTGAAACCATTCAATTTTCTGCATTCGTACCGCATTTTTACAGAAATAATTTCTTTCTTGTTGATAAATATAGTGTGTGATGCAAATGAACATAACATTGATAAAACTGGTGCTCATTTGGTTTGTTAAGAAAAGCTACAGGAAAGAGATTCTTGACTGTTCCACACTTGTGTTGCTCAATAAGACTGTCTGCAATAATGTAATATTATCTGATGGGCCTTCATCCACTGTGACATAATAAAAAGTGTTGCGAAATAAAATCTTGAATCACAAAAATAATAATGAGCAGAAAAATCAGAAAAACAACAGAACGTGATTGATGGAGCAACATTTTTTTCCCTCCTCTCTTTCAGACCCTCACATGATCAGGACCATGACACCAGAAAATATGTGTCACATGGCTCCAACGCCGCCCCTCCCACCTCATGGGCACTATCCCAGCATGCATCGAGACATGTACCTGAAGCCTGAGCCCATGATATCCCAGTATCCTATTGGACCAGTTGCTAGTGGAAACGGAGATGTGCAGCAGACACAGATGCTCCATCAGCTGCTGCAGCATCCTCAGGGACAAGAGTGAGTCATGGGTGACGTGGTCCAGTGGTATGGCAAACCACTTTATTTTACATTGTTGATATCAGGTGACATTTCCCTCTACTATTTTAACTTCTTCCTACTAGTTCAGATGTGCCCAAAGTGGGGCCCGCGGGCCAAAATTGGCCCACCGAGCCATTTGATTTGGCCCACCAGCAGTTGTCCTGGTTATTAGATTGTGATTATGTTAAGATTAAATATAAAATACAAGTAACTACAAGTGACATTTAGATTAGATTTAAGCCCACATATAGATTTGCACACTTCATAAGACCCCATACACTCAAATTTTAAATTAAAAATCCCATGAGTCTTTGCTGCCTGAGCATACGTTGAATTTTCTCCGTGTCCATGGGCTAAAAAAAAAAACCTAAAGAATGTGGGCAACCACACTGGCTGTTAGCTTAATCATAAAAAATTAAACAACTTTACTTAAGTATTAAGCATTTCTTATATTATTGCATTTGGCCCGCGTCCCTCAGATTGATTTTAATTTTGGCCCTCTCAGCGAAAATGTTTGGGCACCCCTGTACTAGTTGGATGTTTGATCATACTAGTTCAACATCTAACACTCCTATTAATAACATTTTTAACCAATAAGTGGAACTTTTATCCAACTACTTGAAGTAAAAGTATGTTAGTCAGCCAAAGAGTTACACTATTAGTAGCTCAAACTTGATTGTTTTTTTAAGCACAGTTCAGTTCAGTTTAACATATCAAGTTAACCCACAGCAAAAGTCAAGTTCATACCTTACCAAATGATATGCAATCCTATTCAGTTCAAAGTAGACCCAAGTCAAAATACATACAGTAAACTGAATGTAGTAATAATAATAATATTCTGTTTTTTTTTAAATAAAATACCATTTAGTAAAATATTGCCTGTGAAAAATCAGCATATTACATGAAAGCATCACTTTAGTGCAATCCTCCATCCTGAATATGCACAAAGTGATGGGTGACAGTGGAGAGGAAGCTAAGCTAAGGATGAGCGGTTCAACCTTCAGCTGGCCAAAGGTGTAGGTTGCCCGCTATCATAAACAGGAACAAGAATTACTGTTGATTAYTATGAACATGTTTGAGTTTTTGATGCCTAGATTAATTTTTTGGGCTACCAGCACATCACTTGGGTTGTCTAGTGGGAAAAAAGTGTCACGGGTTGTCGAGAAAAAAAATGCAGTAGAGGAAAAAGGCTCTTGATGTCAAGAATTCTAAATAAATGTGTTAATGGCTTGCCATATTTTGTATTAAAAAATCTATAATTATGATGGATTTTCTTTCACTGCCTCTGACTGTGATCCTTTTTTCCATCCGCAGCAGCATCCCTGTTCATCAGGCGAAGAAGAGGAAGCACTCCGACTCTCCCAACAGCACCTTGAATTCCCAAATCCTCACAGGTATCATCAAACAAGAACCAGGTAGGCAGGCATCTTTCTTCCCCCTCACCCTCTCTACCTCCCGCTCACCCGCTCTTACTAACTCTTAACAGAGATAAAGAGTTTTACAGAACAGAGATTTTATTATTTTTACATTATGTTTTCCCACTTTAATAGCATCTTTTTAAAACCTCTTTGTCACAGGTTTAATGCAGGATGCAGACAACACCTACCTGGACCCGAACTATCAGTGCATTAAGTGGCAACCTCATCAACAGAACAAGTGGACATCGCTTTATGATGTCAACTACAAAGAGCTGTGGGTGGATATTTTTTATTTGTTTATTTATCATTGGCATATCTGCATGCGTATTAGAACTAAATGAACCATAACCCACAAGTTTTAATTGACCAAACCAAAACCCAACACAATCCGCAGAAGGGATGGAAAAAGAAAAGCTGAAATGTGGAGTTCTAAAAAATTCCTCAGCGGTGAGATGTACGGGGGAGTGAACGAGGGCAGGGTTTCAACTTAGAGAGTAAAGGGAAAAAAATTAGTGAGCACCTTTTTGTGCTTTCGCAGTGCCAAAATAGATAGGGAGGAAGGTTAAAATGAACTCACGACCTTTCAGATATGTTATCAAAACCACCTGGTTGACCATTGCAACTTTAAACACACCGAGCCACACTTCAGTAAAAAAAAAAAGGTTTTTATTTATGCAAGTCCAGCTTAGTTTTAGATCTGCACACTCCTCTGTAACAATTTAAAGGAGTTTTTAACAAAAACTTGACGAACTGTGACATTGGCCTACAAAAGAATCATAGTTTACTATCTTCATTGTGTAAACTGTATAAATCTAATCCACGTATCCCTGAGGACGACTCTTAACGACCAATCTGAGGTCATGTAAAATCCTTTCTACATTGTGTCATTATGTCTTCTTCCATCTGTAGTCCAATGCCAACCTACCGTGTGGACGCTGACAAAGGCTTCAACTTCTCCTTGGCCGATGATGCRTTCGTCTGCCAAAAGAAGAACCACTTCCAGGTCACAGTCTACATCGGAATGCTCGGAGATCCAAAGTACATCAAGACAAACGAAGGCCTGCAGCCCATCGACTGCTTCTACCTCAAACTTCACGGAGTAAAGGTAAAGGCAGGTGCTCGTACTTTATGTACAAGGCTTGAGTTTGGTGTTGTTGTGGATTGGAAGTGGAAGAAGGATCCTAAAGCGTCCAGTATTCTGCAGCCAAACTGCCGAAATCGCATCAGATTGTCGCAGTTTCATCACAAAAATTGTGTTATTCTGTTCACATTGTTATTTCGGCACCTTCTTGTCACAACCTGCTGGTCGAACTTTTTTTAAAAGGTAAATGGTAAAAGGACTGTACTTGTATAGCGCTTTTCTGCCCAACCAGGATACCCAAARCGCTTCACACTACAATCTGTGTACTCATTTAGTTGTGAAGATGTTTAGTGTTCAAATAGTACAGATGTGTTGTTTTTGCTCTTCACTGGCAGGTGGAAGCCATGAATCAGTCCATCAGTGTGGAGCAGTCACAGTCTGACCGCAGCAAGAGGCCCTTCAAGCCAGTTCTGTTAGTCTGAGCTCTCTAAATATTCATGAAACAAAAACAAAAACTGATTAAAATTTCATAATGTGATTAGGATTTTTGTCTCCTCCAGTGTCACGCTGCCACCAGAGCAGGTAACGAAAGTCACAGTGGGGCGGCTCCACTTCAGCGAGACCACAGCAAATAACATGAGGAAGAAGGGCAAACCAAATCCAGACCAGAGGTGAGGGACATGCCATAAAAAAATGTTTAAAAAAATCAACCTTTTGTTCGAATCAGTGACATGTGATTTCCACTTATAATCCTGATGGCTTGGTCTGTGCAGGTATTTCATGCTGGTGGTGGCGCTGCACGCACAGTCCCACAGTCAGAGCTTCACTGTGGCTGCTCATGTGTCGGAGAGGATCATCGTCAGGGTAACGTCTGGCCATGTCTGTCCCCTTCCTACAACATTCAGAACCTGTGTGAATGTGACACTTTTCTTTTCATCCGCCATCCAAGCTTTTCTAATCTCATTCTCTCCGTTATGTTWAGATTTACTCACCCAAACTTTGAAACAAAAAGCTTTCTGTCACTCAGCAATGGTGTTTTAAATACTGCAGGTGTAGAGAGTATGACTGCAAATCCAACTGCTACGTAACCACTTATTTGTTTTAAGACCATTTTCTTTCAGCAGATTTCATCTTGCTTTGATAGAGACATGAAAAAAATGCTTTCTTGCAGACAGTTGAGAAGATTGGCTCATGTTTGCTTAATAAAGTTGGCACAAGACTAGGAAGAAACAAAATTATGAACAATTTAAAAAAAGTGTATTTGTGATGAACAGCAAAAATACAGTATCTTGTCTAACAGAAGAAGGAACCAGTCTTTTCAGAAACTCCTAGCAAGAAAGCAACTATGTAGATATTTCTATACTGTCAAAGGCTATGTTCACACTGCAGGCAAATCCGACCCAAATCCGATTTTTTGACCCATCTGACTCATATCTGATTTTTTCATGACAGTCTGAACGAGACAAATCCGATTTTTTCAAATCCAACCCAGGCCGTTTCAGTATGTGGTTTTAAATCTGATACATATCTGATGTTTTCAAAGTGACTGCAGTGTGAACGCTCATGTCACATTCATCTGACTTTTTCATCAGGAGGAGGRGSTGAAGGATYGATAAGACACTAACCTSAAGTCWSGCTGTTTRAATCTGYAGCTCCRTGTGTTTACAGCTCCAAAACACAAGTCCAGTTGCTTCATCTTTTTACTTTGCATTTTCCACGTAGATAGTTTGATAATAACGATGTACAGCCTGGGTCACGGAGAGTATCGATCCTAAAGTTAGCTACTCAGTCGATACTTTTTTCCAGCTCGTAGTTTCGTTCAAAAAAAAAAAAAAAGCTTCATTGGAGCATCCCGGTTAGAGGCAGGTTCAGATATAAACACTGACTAAACAAAATATCAGATAATTATTTAATCGGCTCTGATTAAACAACAACTTCCGATTCGATGTGCAAAATGTAGCATCCATGCTAGCTCTGTAAACAAACAAGCCGGTTGATGAGACGTCACGTCTTTTACTGCGCATGCGTGTCACATCAGTGCTGTGTAGCGTTCACACACGGGTCTGATGCAGGTCACATTTAAAATGTAATGTGAACGTTCACACAGAAAGATTGGATTTTTTCAAAAAATCTGAACTGAGCATTAAGACCTGCAGTGTGAACGTAGCCAAACATTTGTCTTGAATTTGTGTTTTGGCCTAAATGTTTTTATATCTGAATCAAGATTCTCTGTGCACCCTTCCTCTTGGTTCTGTGTGTTAGGCATCCAACCCAGGCCAGTTTGAAAGTGACAACGAGGTGCTGTGGCAGCGTGGGCAGCTGCCGGACTCTGTGTACCATCATGGTAGAGTCGGAATCAACACCGACCGCCCCGATGAGGCCCTCGTCGTTCATGGCAACCTGAAGGTCATGGGCTCCCTGGTCCACCCGTCTGACATTAGGGCAAAAGAAAACGTTCAGGAGGTCAGGATGTGTGTGTGTGTGTGATTACATGTATGTGTGTTTGTGTGTGCAATATCCATCCATTATCCTGTGTGCTTTAGAGGATTCCCTGCCCCAACACACCTGATTTAAATAAATGGGTGATAAATAGTTATAGGTATTGTTAACAACCTCACTATTCAATTTGATTTGATTTGATTTGATTTAATACTACTTTAAATACTTCAATTTCAATTTCAGAACAATTARAAGTACACAAATGACTCATTAGAGTCCTTGTGGGTATTTTTTTATATTTAATTTCTTTCCCATATAAACAGAATGGTGTACATTAACATTTTAGAGAAATAAAATATCTGGAAATAAAGCAATAGAACAATAATACATTTTTTCTAAATATGGAGCACAAATATACAACCTGACAAACAAGGGTTAAAGTACAAAAAATAAAAAATCCTAAGCAAGAAACTTTTTTGTGATGTTGATAGTGATGAAATCATATTGCTGCTTTTAAATTTTAAATACACTTTAAATTACTTTATTTGCTTCCCTACATCAGAGACTGAGGTAAATCAGTTGTATTGCAAGGGCAGGTAATAATGTGTATTTTTTCCAAAATAGTCCTTACATGGCACCATAGATTATAGATTAATTTTTAACTCAAGGCAATACATCACTTCATTTTAATTTTGCTAAAATCTTGTGTAAAATCAAAAATTACAGATATTCATATTGATGAAATTTTTCTTGACCAACATGTGTCCCGAGATCATCACCGACCGGCCAGAAACAATTAAAGTGGTYCCAGATAGTTTCACAAACTGGGCAGGAAATTGGAAGGATTCAGAGGATTTTCTAAAGCAATATTGAGTTGGGAAAGAAATAATTGCACAGCATTGATGAATTGGTATTTTTACCCACAAAAAAGTTTCTGCAAAACCTGAAGAGGTGACTCAGTTATTGAATCAGATGTGTTAGAACAGGGAAATGAGTAAAGAATGCAGAGTAGCAGCTCTCGAGGACTGGGATTGGACATATCTGGTTTAGATTTTTAGTGCTTAACTTCCTGGATTGTGTCATTCATAAACTCACAGCTTTCTAACTGTTCACATTTTTTTCTTGTGACCTTCTGAAAGATGTTTATGTCATGTTCAATTTCAAAAGAGCCATTTACAACTTTCTGAGTTATTTTCTATCTTTATTCTAACATTTTTGAGACAATCATGTTCAAATTAGAAAGTCCTGATTCTACATTTGAGATGTTGCTTTTCTTTGCCTTCATTTGAAATTTCAATTTAAACATTAATTTTAAGTTAGGTTTTAGACAATAGATGAATAACCTTGGTTTTGTAGCAGTATATAACACTACATTTCTGTGTTTTTGTGCCCTTCTCTCATTAGGTCGACACCACAGACAATTTAAAGCGAATCTCTCAGATGAGGCTGGTTCAGTATCAGTACAAGCCTGAGTTTGCTGCCACTGTAGGCATAGAGAACACTGCAGAGACAGGTAAACGCTTCATACAGAACCTCTGTTTCAACTTAGATCAAAACATAGAATCTTTGAACCTTTTAAAGGAGACATATCCTGCTTTTAAATCCTTCCTTTTCACATTTAAATCATTCAGTTGGGGTCTATATAAAGTGGAACTGCAATGCTTTGGTTTGAGTTCCTCCTCATTTTAACTCCACAAGCCCCTCTTTCACCCCCTTTTCTGAGGTGTGTCTCAGATCAACTCGTTTTGAGGCTGTCTCTTTAAATCCAAACAAGGTACTTCACACCCCGCCCCCCTTCCAGCTTCCAGAGTAGTTCATTCTAACTTGATAGAGGAGTTTACATCTATATAATGGCACAGAAACATTTTATTCACAAAGAGGAGAATGAATACAACCAAACTGTAGTTGGTCAGTCCAGACCATATTTAGAAGTTCTGTCGCAAATTCTGTGACGTAATAGTCCTGAAAATGTCATAGTAAATAGAGAAAACTTAATGAGTTGAAAAACTTGACCCAAATGGAATACATTTTGGAGAAACTAAACTTTTCTGCACTCTTAGTGACTCCAAGTACACAACAAAATGCATTTAACAGCTAAAAACGTGGATTTTGCATAATGTCTTTAAATCATCTTAATGTTTCATCTGCCTGTTGTTATGTAGATAGGGAAACATTTTTTGTATCACTGATTGTTTCTACACTCGATGTGTCCTTTCATAGGTGTGATTGCTCAGGAAGTTCAACAAATCTTGCCCGAAGCAGTGAAAGAAGGGGGTGATGTTGTGTGTGCCAATGGAGATACGATTCCCAACCTCTTGGTCGTCAATAAGGTTACTAACACACAAAAACTGGCAGTGAAGCCCACTTCAAAGAACCAGAGCTTGTTTTAGGTATCTCAACATCAGGCTGTAGGACTGCCCTACTGGCCTGGATCAGACGTCCACACTCAACCTGCTGGAGGGAGCTGACAGACTGTAGACAGGCATGTGAACAATCTTAGGTTTGGGAAAGCTCTCATCTCCCCGAAAAGGAAAACTTTAAGAATACTGGTTGGAGTCCTAACTGGGCACAATCTACTCAACTGCCACAAAATGGTGATGGGACTCCATGACAATGGTCTGTGTGATGCCTGTGGCATTGAATTAGAGACCTCKTTGCACTACTACTGCCTGGCTCTGAGCAGTCAAAGGAACAGAATTCTTGGGGACCCCTTTATGGAGCCTGAGAAGCTCAGAACACTRAGTGTTTCTACAGTAACCTTGTGTCCGAGAGATGCAAAGGTTTGACTAAAGACCAGTCGGCCCACTTACGAGGCCCCCGCTCATATGGATTCTTTAGCCATACCCACCCACCATAAACACAAACACGCACATGCTTTGGTGATGATGATTACAGCTTTGAAATACCATATTCACTGACTGAATCCTCTGGTGTCAAAGGAGCGCATCTTCATGGAGAATGTGGGAGCTGTGAAGGAGCTCTGCAAGCTGACGGACAACCTGGAGACTCGTATAGACGAGCTGGAGCGCTGGAGCCGCAAACTGGCCAAGCTGCGTCGCCTCGACAGCATGAAGAGCACCGTGAGTGGCGGCACGGTGAGGTGAGAGAGAAGGAGCGCAAATCCCATCTGTCTGATTATGAGAACAAGTCTCAAATTTAAAGAGAGGCAACGTAGTATTAAACTTTGCTCTTTATTTTTTCTTGTCTATTTAGCCAGTCAGGAAGCTATTTCAGCAGAACAGGAAGTGGCCCGCTGAAGAAAAAGCCAGTCAAATCTGGGAGCAAGGTTTGTGATGGTGCTTTGCAGTGGTGGGCACAGCTAACCAAAGTATTAGATCAATTACTTCATTACGCTAACACCAAGGTGCTACAAAGACAAAAAAACAATGGTGGAAGCTAATGTTAAACCGCTAACATTTAACACATCAAYGTCCAGTTCACCATGTGCCACAATGCACTGCACTAGTGTTCAGGTTTTATCTCGAACACACCCCTCCTGGCTCAGACCTTTCACTCATGGTGTCAGTTTTACAGTCAATAACCAAAACGTCAACACAGATGTCAAACCAAACCTGAACGGGTAACTTGACAAACGTCAGTCCACATGTATCAAAATGGCTCATAAATCGAAGATAAAACTAGCAATCATGTTTCGTTCAGAGTTGAGGTAATCATTTCAACCAAGCCAAAGGGGCGGAGCTACAGCTTTACTGACTGAAAGTGAGGAGCATGTGAGGAAAAGAAAAAGGCAGTGAGAAATCACAGCCTCTCTGTATCATAGCTGGAATACTGTGCTCTGCTTTGTGTTGCCTTCTTTTCGCGGCATAGCACAGTTTAGCATGTTGCGGCTACATGTAAAAGTCAATATTTTAGTTTTTTTTAGATTGTGGTGCAATATATTCAAAAATTATTAGCGGTAAAGAAAAATATATTATATTATATTAGTAAGAGTGGAGTCTGTTAATTATTTATAAAGTTAATGCAAGTACTAAACAAGTACTAACCACTCAACAAAAAGTTAGTCCCATTATTTGCAGGTTAGCGGAACCATGCCCACCACTGGTGCTTTGTTGTTGTTTTTTTAAGTAATATGTTGCAAGATGTCCAAATGTCTCTGTATGTATTGTACATGCATGTATTATGTTTTATGTACTTTCCTGTTGCAGAGCTCACCTCTGGATCATGGCTGCATCAGTCAGAGGTTCATGCAGGGGACCATCCTGGCTCTGGTCATTGTTATGGCCTTCAGGTACGTGTTTTATGAGAGAGTGAAATCTTCTGCAGGGATTAACAACGACAATGTTTTAACCTCATTCTTACATCCGCAGCGTCATTTCGATGTCAGTGCTGTACATGCTCACGCTTCACCAYAGAGGCGACGTCACAGAAAAAGATGGGTATGTTCTTTCGTAGGTGCAGTGATAATAACAGTGAAAATKATCTGTTTACAACTTTCCAATAATCCTTCAAAATCCATCCCTGCTTCCTTCAGCTATGTTCCTTCCTGTGTTCTCTACATCTCTTGGATGCCCATCTTCACTGCTACTGTAACTGTCTGTCCACCTGTCTGCAAATGGTACTCCATCAGCTCCAATATTCCTTTTTTTCCTCTTTGAAATTTCTCTTTTGATTCCTTTCTTTTGTTGTGTCTGAAATTGGATCATGAGCTACATTTAAGTATGCTGCAGTGAATAAGCATGCACCAAATTGCAGTCTTCACCTTCTGCTTGTCATTGGTTGCAGGTCAAGAGCTGCATTGGGATTGTCTCGCAAGAATCCATTCACTCCGCTCCCTAACACACCTACACCAGGTGAGTGGCGGTCCTGAATTTACCTGTAGGTTCAAACATTTAAAAAAATCTTAATGACCTAAACTCTGAGAGTAAAATTAAAACAAAACATACTTGACTTCATATGATGTTCTCTGGTAGCTTGCTGTTCGACCACAGCTATAAACAACCAATCAGCAACTACCCTGACACTGAACAACAGCCAAACAACATCTGGTAAAAAAAAAAAAGAAAGTATATAAAATGAAAATAAACCTGCATTTTCAGCCTTTTTTTCTGCTTTATCAATGAGTTTTATGTCTCATGTAGGTTTAAGCAGCCTGGTTCCCACACCAGGCACCATCAACAAGAAGGCCAAGTCCAGACCCATGGACAAGGACGGCCACAACAGAAACCGCCTYAGTCACACCTCTGCACCCATGTACTTTGCCAAGTCCAAGAAACCTGTCTCAGCTGACCCAGAAGGAGCCGGAACCACCAACCGTCTGCCTCAGCAGCCTGTTCCACGCAGACAACGCRGCCTACATGCAAGAGGTTACACAGCTCAGCCACAGTGCTTCCATATGTACATATAGTACCACATAACGTTCAAACAGTGAGCCAATTTGTTTGATGAGAGCAAAAGGCAGTTTTTTTCTACTCACTGCGCAAATAAAAAAAAGATTGGTGCCCATAAAGGAGTTTATCTGTTCTCTTTTGCAGGAACAACTGCTCCTTCTCTCTCAAGTGTTCGAATTGTGGAGACAAACCAAGAAATTACTGCACAACGTTGTGCAACAGCAGAGACCTGCAGGTAAACAACTAAAGCTGATCTATTATGCTTCTGAGTCTTTAGTAAAAAAAAAAGAAAGAAAGAAATTCAAACTTAGGATGATGTGGTACTTACCTAGTCAAACCAATATACAGTAGATTCCGGGTGCGTTTCTGCCAAGGGGAAACC